GAAATAGGACACCAAGTTAGGTATTTGCAGCTATCAGAGATCTTGTGATGTGTTGTCACATTTGAGCCATAGTCAGTCTGTTGCCAATATCCAGTTATGTTTTTCATCCTCTTACATTTTTTGTAATCCGCATTCTGACAAACTTTTCCTTTATTTAACCCTTTCAATTTCTAATCCAGGACTAAAATATGTAAATGGGAATAATGAAAAGAAAATTAGATTTATAAACATAAAAGCTTATCTAGAAGGCAGGTATAAGCCTGATTGCTTTCCCCTCTGCAATGACAGAAAGAGTGGTCTAAGCAATATGCATAAATATTGAACAAATTGATGTTGTCTAATCCAATTGTAAATTTTAATCATTACTAACGGGGACTCATAGCAATGACACGGTTTCTTTATATATCATGGACCTAAGATATGGTCAATAGTACTTTTATTGAGCCTTTAAGTCATGAGTTGAGCACATGAAGGTGAAGGATTCTATCAATTTTATTCCACTCTTCCCTTAGCCTCTACATTGCACATCTCTAAATAGATTTTTTCCAATAATTTCACTCAAATCATGATTCTAAGATCCCCTCTCTCAGACCTATAAATCATACACTTCAGTAGTGACTTTTATTTTCTGGATCTTCTCTATTTTTCTCTTAGTTTGCACATAATATTTTGTTGTCTACTTCTCAACTTCCATGAAATATAAAATTATATCCTTAACCATGATTGTCTGATTTTCTTCTGAATCAGCTAATTTAGTTCTTTGTCAGGAGAATGACAATAATTTATCTTTTATTTCTGTCCACAACTGTTTCTGTACTTCCAAGATTTCTATTTCTGTTACAGACTGCATGCCTATAACACAATGATGGAAAAACTCTTCTCTGAGCATGTTAGCTAACAAAGCAATTGCTAGGTCAAAAACCCAACCTATAATAAATGGTCAAGTGCTTTAAGATTGTTATCTTATAAAATATACAAAACAAAGTGTTTGTCAGATGTCCTATGGATACTTCATGACCTGGGAAATAAATTTAATTGCCAAAGATGGACACATCGGAAGATAAAGAAGGCAGAATATACTGGAACATACAGATAACATAAACTTTATTCAGTCATTAGATTGAATATCATATTTGTTCATCTCCTCTCATTATTCCTACAATGAAACTTCTGAAAATTTGTACAGCTGCAAAGAAAATCTCTATAATATCATGGAAAGAAAAGCAATCATTCTGAATAGTCCACAAATAATATGTCTTTTAAAAAATTTAAGTTGGTGGTTGGCACTTAGATTCCAGTTCTGAGAGGGCAAAGACCTATTGTAATATTTTAAAATAATGAGAAATAAATTAAAATGAAGTTAGAACTTAGCCACAGCAGAGGAAATAGCCCCTCTAGAATGAATAATTTGGAAGTCTATTTAAATGCATGATAAATTAGAATATCAGATTATAATTTGGCAGCCTTTCTGGGGGAAATAAACTAAGCAGAAGGATTGAAATGCAACTTAATAATAAATAACATAGGTCAAATTTATTTCTAAAAATAAATGTATAAACTCAAAACAATTTTCAACTTAAAAAAAACAATATTAAGTTGAAAGGATATGCTATTTTGGTAGTGAACTTTTTTAATTACTTTGAGACTAGGCCTTTTGCATCATTGCATCTGAGAACGCTGTTTCAGTTTTCTCCAATGGCTCCAGGAATTTTTGCTGGTGACCTGTCTTGGCTTCTCAGATGCAATGATGCAAAAGGCCTATTCTCAAAGTAATTAAAAAAGTTCACTACCAAAATAGGTAAAAACTGGAAACAACCCAAATGCCCAAAAATAGATGACTGGATCAAGAAGATGTGGTATGTATACCCAGTGGAATATTATTCAGCAATCAAAAAAGATAAACTCATGTCATTAACAGCAACATGGATGGAGCTAGAAGGAATTATGCTCAGTGAAATCAGCCAGATGGAAAAAGAAAAATATCGCACAGTTTCACTTATAGCAGGAAAATAGGGAAACCAAATAAGACATCAGTGTAAAAAAAATAATAACAGTACAAAGCACATGAAAGCAAAAACAGACAATTATATATCAGAGACATACTGCAGGGGAGGAGGAGGGAGATAGATGAGAGCGAAGGAGGAGCACAGGGGACTGAGGTGATAGTACATGGGTGCATTGGGGAAGGAAACTATGGGGACTACACCTAAGGGGGTGGGGAGAAGCAAATATTGTTTAAAAATGAACAATGATGCAAAAATTTTTTAAAAAATTAATTTGAAATTAAAATAAATGAATGGATAAATAAATAAATAAACCAGCATGGACTGATTCAGAAATAACGGCCTTAATATGTGCTGCCACTGTTTCAGTCAGATTGCAATGGTTGTAAACTCTACTACATGAGCTTCCTTAATTTGGTCATCCAAGAACTGTGCCTTACAATGGAAAAAAGACTAGCTCTTTGTACATAAAATTAAAATAAAATACCTGAAATTAAAAAGAGAAGAATAATATATAGCTTCTTTTTAAATATCCAGAAAAAAAATTACACTCAGGTGAGTGGAAAACAATATCATATTACCACCACATTATTATTTAACTACTGTATTATTATCAGAATCCTTTCCTATGGCTAAAGATATTCTTTCAGAATTTATATATGATCAGATTGTTTAAAAATAAATTCTTCATCAGTCCTACTCTAACCATATTCATTGTCAATCTTGATTCATGTGGTGACATTCTGTGTTCCAATTTCATTCTTAGTCACAAAAGCAAATCTTCTAATCCTGTCACCATTTAATGATGGACAGATGATTTTGCACTCATTTGACCTTTTCCGAGCTATCTTGTTTGATAAGCAGCCCATTCCTGTTCTCTTTTAATAAAAGGTAGAGTAGATTAGCCAGAAAGTATTCAGCTAAAGCATAACAACAGGCAACTTCTGGCATGTAATGGGGACATTAAAATTCTAATGACTCATTCCCCTGTCACAGATGAGGAAAGGAATAGAAATAGACATAACATGGATCTGTTCCTCTAAACTAATTATAACGGGAATTTTAAATGGTAAAGCCTTTATTCACATAAACCAGTGTTTCCTTTAGCTTGGTAGAGAAGTCCCAGGAATGTACCAAAATTCATATTTTTGGATGTGGAATCAGGTTAGTTAAGAGTTCAGTAATAAAAGAGACCTTTTATAGATGAAAAAGAATGATGTGAAAGAAAAAGATAGGTTGTAAACAAAGGTAGACACTCCTTAGCTAAAGAATACCTTGATTTAAAAAGAAATCAGAATGTATGAAAAAGTGTGAATCTTTCTATGACAAGAAATACATAACTTTATAGGATATTTTCATTTCTTTCTTGATCTTTCATACTATAATCCCAGATTTTGAAAGTTATTCTTGTTACATTTTTAAAAATCATAATCAAATAATTCAATAAACATTTCTTTAATTTGAGAGGTGCTTGCAAGGTACAATGATATCATGGTGACTAACACAGCATATTTCCTGCCCTCTTAGGGAATATAGTTGAGATAGTAAGAAAGACATTAATCAAATGATCACACAAAGAAATATTATTATAAGTAATGTGAAGACTACCAGAATAAATCACCCCCAAAACATGCCCTTTTTGTATATGGATTATTTTTTTAAATAAATCTTTATTTATTTATTTATTTATACAAGCACTGGGTATAGTCAGAAGCATGGGTGGATGAGAGAATTCACCAGAGCCAGAGCAGGAAACAGAACAGGCAGACTGACGAAATACACTGCTAAGCGGAGCAGCGGGCGCAGCAGGAGAGGTCTGCCGTGCCATGCAGGACCCTCGCCCAGTGGCTGGGGGTCGAACTGGCGCTGCAGAGGCTGTGGGCAGCTTTGCAATGCAGCATTCAACCGCTGCACCACCAGGGGAGGCCCAGTATATGGATTATTTTGAGGTAAAGGTCATTGTGAATAAGGAGAAGCAGTAAATGCTCTAGAAACAAGGCACAGGTTTTCCATTTTTTAAAAAGAAATTTAGATATTTTTTCATATGTAGTTAATGTGTCCACAGGAGGAAATGAATTCATGATTTTCTAATGTCAACATCTGGAATTATAGCCAGAAATTTATATTTGTACCATTTCTTCTTCCATACAAGGAAGATAAAAACTTTAAAGTTTCTATCTATGAAGAATGGACTACGCTAAGGACTATGGGGAATTTGATGGTGGGTGTAGTGTGACAACATCCAACTGAAGAGGTGTGACCCTGTACCTCTGAATCATATACTACTCTATAAACCAAAGTCATCTCAATAAAAAAAGGTTATACCAAATAAATAAGTCACCCAACTGACTTAAAGCATAACAAACTTCATTAAATAATCCTTGTTCACTATACTCTTTCTGATTACCCTCTTATGCCCAGAAAATACAAATCTCTTTTCTTATGCTTTAGCCTAAACTTTTTTAAATTAAAATAATTGACATAAAAGATTAGTTTCAATTGTACAACATAATGATTCAGAATTTGTATATATTATGAAATGATGACCATAGTCAATCTAATTAACATCCATAACACAGATTTAAAAACATTTTCCTAGTGATGAGACCTTTTAAGATTTACTCTCTTAGCAAATTTCAAATACACAATACCATATTATTATACTATAGACACCATGCTGTATATTACATACCCAAGATGTGTTTATTATATAACTGAATGTTTTTAATTTTTGATCACTTTTACTCCCTATCCCGCAAATCTAAATTATAAATACCCTTGGATATGACTCAGTGGAGAGAAGTCCCTAGAGCTATTGAGGCATTGAGAGATGGCTAGTGAAAATTATGTCCAGAAGAATTAAAAAACTATTAGGAATGGAGATCAGTCCTTAAAAAGCCTGCCCAAAAATTTATTCATGCTGGGACCTAGCATATTAATAGCATATTAATACTGACACAAAAACACTCAAATCATAGCTGAAGGAATTCCACTTACCAGTCTTAGAACATCTGACTGATAGGCAGATGGTTAGGGATGATCCCTAGGTTGGAAACACCAATATTATTGGATGCCATTTTGTTACTCTCTTCCAATATACTAGAGCCTATAGGTGAGCCTAACTCTGAAATTTACCCACCCCTGTGATGTAACTGTGAGCCACAATTCTACTTGAGAATGGTGTCTCAGTTCTGTTCCTTGAAGAACATCACGGGTCTGTGTGGGGCAACCCCACACCGGGCTACAGACACAAGAACTTCCAGAAAGGGCAGGCAATTCATCTATCAGCTGAGTAATGACAGCAGGCTGAGGATGAGTAGGGCCCCTAGCACCACCTACTCAGCACACCACACCACACCTTGACAGAGCCTAACATTTTATATCTGAATGAGGCCAAAAGCCCCTCACTTGTGCTATCTGGTATAGTAGGAAAGTCACAGAGGGGACATAATATACCTTGAGTTGAAAACTGTGCTCCTGAACTCCACACACCACTGTCTGCACAAGGTCAGTCCTTTGAGTTCAGGAAAGGTTGTACAGTTATTAAAAACATAAACAAATATTCGGAGAATCAGGTAGAATGGGGGTGCTGAAAACAGTTTCAAAATAAAAGTACAGACACAATCCCAGAAAAAAAAAACTTTAGAGAAATGGAGATAAACTACTTGAGGAAGAGAAAAAAGTGATGATAATAGATATGGTAACAGAACTTGGGAGAAAAATAGATGAACTAAAAAAAAAAATTAAGATCAGAGGTTTCAGAGGAGAAGAATACAGTAATACCACTGAAAAAGACAGTCGAAGGGGACAATTGCAGACTAAATGAAGAAGAAAAGCAGATAAGTGAGTTCAAAGAAGATAAACTAGAACGCATCCTGATTTATTTCAAAGGCTGTAACACAGGGACAGTCAGAAAGAGATACACAGACCAACACATAGAGAAAAGGTAGTTTTCATGCCTTCTCCAGCTGTGTCATTCTCCCCAAATCTTCACATGTTCATCAACCAGAAACTCCCTGAAGTTCCCTCCTCTTGAATTTTTATGGAAGTTTTATTTCTTAGGCATTATTGGTAAACTCATTGACCATTAATTCTACTTCCAGCCCCACACTCCTCTTGAAAAGTCAGTGATTGGTACCGGATGTTCCAACTCTGCAGTCACTTGGTAGGATCATCTGGAAACCTGTCTCCAACTTTAGCCATTACCCCAAATTTCACCCTGCTGACATAATGATTAACACCCATCTTCTCATCACTTAGAAAATTCGAAGACTTTTGGGAACTGTGAACCAGAAATTGGATGGAGGTTAAGCTTCTGTGAGAAATTCAGTGTTTGGCCATCAGAATGATCAAAATTATATATTTCTTATAAATCACAATATCACAAGTTGTCCAGGCACAGCTGGATTACTAGGCTCAAAAAATGTCATCATCTTGGGCCTCCCTGGTGATGCAAGGGATTAAGCACTGTGAAGCTATCTGCAGCTATCTGCAGTATCTGCAGCAGCAGCAGGAGTGTATATATATATATATATATACATATATATATATATATATAATATATATATACACATATACATATATATATATACACATATACTATTGGTATTTCTTTGTGAACTATTACCAAACTTTGTCCTAAAATTTTAAAATTTCCTTTGTGGATTTGTTGTTTTATAAGATCTTAACCATTAATATTTCTCATTTTTCTTAATCATTTCTTCCTGCTTTTCATGTTCATTTGATTTGATTAAATTTTTGCATATGGAAATTCTTCTAAGGGTCATAACTATCTTTAGTTACTTCTTCCATTTGTTTTGTATTTTAAAAATCTTCCCTGTAAAACAATAAAAAAATCAAGTATTTATTTTAGTACTGTTGTTTTGCTTTTCCTTTTTGTTTTGCTGTATATTATTTTTGAATAATTTCATGCTTATTCAAGGTTCTCTGTATAACAAAGAAAGATATATTAACATTTTAAAAGATACTTCATGTCTTCTGAAATTTGATATCACTGGCTTTCCTTAAGAATTTGAAAATGTAGTGGGGAGCAACATGGCAGCGAGGAGACGCTGCGAGTAAGATCTCCCATTAAAAAAAAAAAAAAGTTAATAGGGAGGAAAAGCGGCAGGTCCCAGTGAGAACTGGGACACAGAAGATAAACGGACGACTCCAGCAAACTACCCGAAGAAGAAAGTTGCCATAAAAAAGGACTAGATGGGAGGAAAGCGCAGAACCCTGCTACCCTCCCGCACCCACAAAGTTGGCACTCTCCGACCAACAGAAAGGAGGAAAAAAACAAACTAAAACGACCAATAAGAACAAACTACGCATCAAGCAGGACTGGGAGTGGAAAGGAACTATTTCAGCCACCACACCCTGTGAACTGGAGCTGTGGAGAACCCTGCAGGATTCGCCGCGGAGGTGAGCGAATGGCTCCAGGCACCATTAGAGAACAACAGAGACCCCCGGAGACCTGTACACAGCCCCAGGCCGGCCGGTAAGCTTGCACGGAAAAGTGGCATGCTTAAAAAGCAAACACGGATCGAGGCTGCCCAGGACCCTGCGCCTGCGACCAAGGCTTGCAGGGAGATGCGCAGAGGCCCTCACTGAGGTGAAAGTCCCTCACTGAGTAATCAGGAACAAGGCGCCCAGGCATGGGAGCGGGGTGCAAAAGGTGCCATTCCTGTGGCCACTGAACTGGGCTACAGCCCGCATCCTGGACCTGAGGGCTTTGGAACTGAGACCCGGGGCATGAAATTCGGGGCGTGGGTTCTCCACGACGGTGGGGCACAAGGCAGACACAGCACCCCAAAGCCATTGAGGTTTACCCACCATTCCCGCTCTGTTCCTTATCCCACGGGGTGAAAAAACAGCCCCCCAAGGACAATAGGAGAGATCTCTGGCGCCACCTAACGACCAGAAAAAAAAGTCACTAACACCCCATAGAACAGGGAAATTTCTTCAGAAAAGACTGCTTGAACAGGGCAGAAGGCTCCCGGAGGAGCCAGTGGCCAGCTGGGAAGATAGCCCACATCAGGCCCCTTCCGACCAGCAGTCTGAGCCCACAGGGGGAGCGGGCACCCATGGCCAGCGCAGACTGGGTGCGCAGAAGAGTGTGCCTGAGACCGGATGCCCAGGGACTGCGTCCTGCATCGCCATTTTAGAACAGGGACATTTCTTCAGTAAAGACTGCCTGAAACCAGCAGAAAGCTCCCTCAGAAGCCAGAGATGGCTCCTGGAGGAACCAGAGGGGAGTGGAGAAGTTCACCCAAGATGCCGGCCAGTCCCAGCAACACAGTGTCCCAATGCATACGACAAATTAGAAAACAGACAGTAGGGAGTATAAGAACCACACGCAACCTAACAACTCCTCAGGAAAAAAGCACACCACAAAAAGAAAACCACCCCCCAGATTGCAACGACAGTAACTTGCAAGAACTTCTGAGCCTTCCAGAAAGAGAATTTAAAATTGCCATGATTAAAAAAGTGACAGAACTCATAAAGGAAAACAATGATATGAGAAAAATAATCAACAATCAGAAGAATGAAATTGAGTCCCTAAAGAGGGAAGTTAAAGAAATGCAGGAGATCAAAGAATTAATGGAGGAACTAAAGAACTCTGGGAAAAGCAATGAAAGCAGAATAGATGAAATGGAAGAATGAATAAGTACTCTTGAAGACACAGAAATAAAAAGAACCAAAACAGAAAAGGAAAGAGAAGTACGAAGGAAAAAGAACCAAGAAAGACTTTAGGAACTATCTGACTCCATGAGGAAAGGAAATATAAGAGTTATAGGAATTCCAGAAGGAGAGGAGAGAGATGTAGGAACAGAGAAAATATTCCAGGAGAGAATTGAAGAGAACTTCCCAAATGTGAAGAAGGAGCTGAAAATTGATATACAGGAAGCAAGAAGAACACCAAACTTCCACGATGAAAGGAAAAATACAGCAAGACACATAATAGTAAAGTTCCCAAGAATCCAGGACAAGGAAAAAAATAATGAAGCTGACAAGAGGGAAGAAACAGATAACATTCAAAGGAAAACCAATCAGGCTGACATCAGACTTCTCTGAAGAAACACTACGGGCAAGGAGAGAGTGGAGGGACATAGTCAACAGACTCCAAGAAAACAGATGCCAACTAAGAATACTCTATCCCGCAAAGCTCTCCTTCCTCTATGAAGAAAGAATAAGGACCTTCTCAGACAAACAGAAACTCTGGAATTTCATTACGACTAAACCCCCACTCCAAAAAATACTACAAGGAATCCTAAAGCCAGAACCTCAGAGGGACGAATAACAACAAAAGAAGGCCAAAGAAAAAAAAGTTATTGAAAGAATAAATAAATAAAATCAAAGGAAAGACAAACACAATGGCAAATACAGATGCTAACATATCAATATTAACTCTAAATGTAAATGGACTAAACTCTTCAATAAAAAGACAGAGTTGCAGCCTGGATTTAAAAACAAAACCCAACCTTTTGCTGTCTCCAGGAAACACATTTAGCTACAAAAGATAAAAATAGACTCAAAGTTAAAGGATGGAAAACAATCCTACAAGCAAATGGACCAAAAAAGAAAGCAGGAACAGCTATACTTATATCAGATAAAACATATTTCAAACTCAAAAAAATAAAGAGACCCCAATGGTCACTACATTATGATCAAGGGGACAATACTTCAAGAAGAAATAACACTCATTAACATATACTCACCAAATGAAGGAGCACCAAAATATACCAGACAACTGTTGTCATCTCAGAAAACAGACATCAGAGAAAACACATATGTAGTGGGAGACTTCAACACACCACTATCAACAATGGATAGATCAACAAGACAGAAAATAAGTAAAGAAACTAAAGCTCTAAATTAGGACCTAGAGCATTTGGGCTTAACAGACATCTATAGAACACTAAACCCCAAAAAAATGGAGTACACATTTTTCTCAAGCGCACATGGATCATTCTCCAGGATCGATCACATACTGGGGCACAAGACAAACATCAACAGATACACCAAGATTGAAATCATACCAACCATCTTTTCTGACCATGAAGGCATCAAACTAGAAATAAACCATAAAAAGAAGGCAAGGAACTTCCCTACCTCATGGAAATTAAAAACCACACTACTGGAAG